TATCTTTTCAATCCCAAACAAGCATGTTCCCGAGGGAACCGTAAAGTAACTGAAAAAGTCCCAACTTCACGAAACCAATTAAAATAATTAAGGTCAAAAGTTTGGAAAACTGACTATCCCCGAGTTGTGTTTCGTGAGCTGGTACTACGATCAATCAACCGTTTCCGACTCCACCCAGGTTCAGTCCTTCCTTGATTTATGAATGAGAAGACCCCCCCACGCAAACAATACCCTCTCATCACCTACGATTTCTCTCAATCTCCTTCCAGTTGAGCCCTCTCTTAAATTGACAATGAGATACAACTTTCTTGCTTTATTGACTCGCCATATTTTCGGAGTTGGTGCCGCCAGAAGTGGCATCTTTCTACTTTCTCTTTAGATTGGGTTTCGGGTGTATCAACTTTTTAAATTGCAAACATTCCTCTCTTTCCGAAATTTATTGATCTTTTCTGATTGTTTTCAATCGCTGAAACTACAGTCTAAATTTTCAAAACAACTCAAAGTGTATGCAATACAATAAAAACAATTAATCATTAGTAAGTAATGTCATATTAGACGCTAACAGTGAATACAAAATATTATGAGCCACCAAATCACTTTATTTATTACAATTTAAAAAATTAAACGGTATAATTGTATACAAATGATCTAGTACGGGGCGAATTTGATAGAAAGGAAAACACGCACATTCTTCGTCAAGCTTTCGAGGAATGTATACCCCTCATCAAGACTTCGAAACTATTCCTAATGATTCACATGGATAACTAATGAAAACAACTACTAACAGTATTTGAAATTATGGCTTCAACCATAATAAATATATGAGTTTAGCATATAAACGTTAGTGGACAAGATCTACCACCGGTCTATAATTGTAATATATAATGGACGGGTCTTTTAGATACAATTATAATATGAATTCCAATTAATTTTTCTTTTTTATCTACAAAAACACGATAGAAAAGATCGTCACAATAGCTCAAGTGGTTAAGTAGCGGCCCGAAGGTCGTGGGTTCGAATCCGCTTTTTCGCTTCGTGACGCTTTTTCATCTCTACCAAGACTTTAGATAAAAAGCATAATTAATTGAAATATAAGGTCAATTATGACCGGTAAACATTTATGGATTAATATAATATAAATATCGAAAATATTTTACGCATTCTGATGCTCCCATCCCTAGCCACCCCTTAAACCTTTTGTTTAGGGGCGTCTGTGGCCGCAACGTTTTAAGCGTTGACACAGCGCTCATCACTGTAAGGTAAAGGTCCTGGGTTGGAATCTAGCGGCCCTGCATTCGAACCCGACATACTTACAAATGGTTTGTTTTTTTTAAACACCAGCACCCTGAGGGTTGATATGACCTCTGCTTTTGCGAACCCTCTTTAAAAGAAAATATTTTAAAAAAACTTTTGTTAATTTTAATTGGTATCCTGTATGCAAGACTTAGCTTTGGATTTCTGCAAAAAAAAGTATTTTAGATTAATTGACTTTTACAAACATTTCTTAAAATCTAAATGCAAATGAAAGTTCAATGTATAGATGTAAGTCTAAATAGAAGCCAGAGATTATTTTTTCTTTGAAAAATGTAATTATTGAGCTAGAGAAGATACAATAGTTCAATTTAAATCCATTTAAGCTCTCATGATCTCCGAAGATCGGAAATAAAACAATTCATTACCATTTGGACATTCCTTTATTCCTCTTTATTGTTATTGCATATATACAAAGGTTTAAACAAATTCTCATGAATCGACGTTTTAGCGTGGCACTTCTCTTCGTATCATTATTTTTTCTTCTCATTATTTCAGCCACATCTGTGTTTATTCATTCAATAGATTCAGCGATAACTCAACGCCTACGAGGTATTTTTCTTGGATTTGTGCTGAACGAGAACAAGACATACATTTCCAAACGTCCGGAACATTAATCCTATCACAAGTTGGATTTAAATAAACGGAAAGTTCTCATGAGTAAATATTCTCAACGGTTTAACGCTCTCTGCGCCGTATAACTTTAACGTAAGGCTGTTAAAACAAAACTTTCTAGAAAATACCTCGAGCTTATGGAAAAATTGTAAAATAAGAACATATTTACTTCTAGAATACGTCTTCATTTACGTTTCATGACATGATTTGAACAAAAAATATTTGTGGATATGTATGGAAAAATCTATCGGTCACATTTTTTACCCATCGCGCATAGAGTAGATCCAACATTTTTAATACGTACCAATTACGTAAACTTTTAGGGTGTACCTCAAGCAACCAACCCCTAACTCTCGCCCACCCTCCGTTATCAAGGATTAAAAGAATATCGAACGATAGTTGTCCAAGTAGGGATCATTTCGAAGTCGAAGCCCCAAAGTTTAGGAGGGGAGACGAAGCAGGTCGCTATGGAAACGATACTGAGTGAACCGGCGTTAGTTGCTCCCTATGCAGACATACGAAAGCGGTCGGTATTCTTGAAGAAAATGTCCCCGAGCCGTTTGAACCGTGTCGAAGAGGAGGACGATAACGTGGCATTTTTGGATATTTTCTTTCAGAGATTGGCGATCACCGTCTGGCAGACCGCATTGCACATCCGCAAAGTACGTATCGACCATTCCGACTTTCGCTTTATCGCATTCATTGCTAATAGCTCGAACTGGCCGAAAAAGAAAAATTCTTTGATTTTATGTTACTTTCCTTTCTTATGTCGTGCAAATGTATAGAATTTTATTATTTTATCATTTAGTTATGTTTTTAAAACCAAACATCCAAAAGAACAGGGCTGTTTCGTTTCTCAAACCTCATTGTACATTATCATTATTATTTACAATAACCTCCAATTGTTTTTAATCTATTATTGCTTTTATTTAACTATCACAAATTTTTAAAAGAAAAAAGAAAGATGCAAACCTCTTATTCAGAAAAACAGAAATGTGTTGGATGACTTCTCCAAATTGTACGAAACGCAGGCGATTTCAACTTTTATTTTCATCTTATTCGATATTTTTTAAATATTGTTTCTTTTTGTATTTTATGAATAAAAAAATAAAATCAGTATCTAAAATTCAGTTGGTAAACACATTTCAGATGCTTAAATCCTTAATGGGATATTATCATCATATCAACGATTTTAAACTTGGCTCGTGTTTATACACTGTTATTATACTGACTTTCTATATCGTAAGATGGTGCTGATGCTGAACTACTTTAAATGGTTCTGCCTTAAAAAAAGGTTAAGATTATGAAAGTATAAACAAATTTCCCGTTACGTTTTTCTCTATGCTGAACTGACTCAATTAGTTTTCTTGCAATCAATCTGGCAATATTACTATACATTTTTCAACTTTCACTATTCTTTACCCCAAAAAGAAGCTTCTTTCAGAAATGCTTTAATGGACAGACAGGTTGAACAGTTTTTAAGGGATTGACTGTTTTTATTAAATACTTCAATTGATTTTTCTGTTTTAAGTAAATGAAACATTTACAGGTTATAGAAGTACAGTACGATGTGGATAATGAGTCTGCGGGCGGTTTTTAGATCTAAATTCATACAAAAGATTGTTCTCCAATCCCGACATATCCTCTTAGGAAAACGGTTTTATTTGTCGAATAAACAAGATGCTTTAACTTTTTTCGGTTACATACGAGTTATTAAGTTATAATAAATTGAAAACTATTTGTCTTTGGGCTATTTTCAGACCTAAATTCATCGTTTCCCCATCTTAGATTAGATAAACAATTTGATTTGTCTATTAAATAAACAGACTTTAATTAATTTTTCAGTTATACGCCAATAAAAGTTGTACAGGTTATAAAAGTGTAAAAAGTACGATGTGTGTAGCAATGTCAGTTGGCAGTCTTTAGATCTAAATTCATACCAAGGATTGTTCTCTAATCCCAACAAATTCCCTTGGGAAAACGATTTTATTGATCAATTTAGCTTTACAAAAATTAAATTTAAAAAACTTTTCTTTTGTTAAAATGCGTTTTTTTAATACATTGGTTTGATATTTACAAATACTGTATTAAGTAAATATTTTCATATATGCTGAATTTGTCATTTGAGTCTCTGGTAGAAGTTTCCCAGTGATAACACTCCTTCGCAATGGGGCGTCGGTGGCCGCAAGGTTTAGTCTTTGACACGGCGCTCATCACTGTAAGGTAAAGGTCCCGGGTTCGAATCCAGCGGCCCTGCATTCGAACCCGACATACTTACAAATGGGCTTTTTTTCAAAAACACCGGCACACTGAGGGTTTATATGACCTATATGAAAAAAAAAAAAAAAAAATCACTCCGCACTGAAGCCTAGTCAATCTTCAATCAATGAGAAGGTCTCGATGCAACTTTCGCTTTAATCGTCTTGGAGGATAAAAACCGTTAAAAAATGGACTGCTCGTGAATACGGAACATTGTTTTTAATGCAGAGATATAGCAAATATGCTATTCTATATCGAGATTACAGTCGAATTTTGCTTTCGATTTTTTTTTTTACGTTCATAATTTTTTTTCGAAAGACTTCTCTAAACTTGGCATCCCAGATATCAGCATCTTCACCAAATACAGCGTAGATTTTTGATCTGTCCGATTCGCTGTTTTACCATTTCTAAAAATAAATGGCACTTATGAAACATAGTAATATTAAAATTGTTTGGTTTTCTTTAATGATATGACAAGTAAACTAAAAAGTTGTGAAGTTTATTGATACCAACTTTGTAATAAGAAAAATGCAGCCATTCTGATTGGGTTCTATAATAGTGGTAAAAGTTTTAATTAATCTATATAAAGTTCAAAAATTTAACATCTCTACATATGAATTTTCCCCAGAATTTTTCTTTTTCTGATTGGATTTTGATGAAAACGAGAAGATAAATAAAAAGGTAGACGTGGAAGAGAGAGAAATACTCTTTTTTTCACCTCCTAATAAGGCAGCGGCTGGAGCAAATCAATCCAATCGTATAGGCAAATAAAAGAGTGAAATTTTTGTAATTTTGTTTCTTTTTCTCTTTTTCAGCATGCAAACGAGCTGGCCACGAGGAGTGTCACCCCCCAGAAACAAGTAAGTATTGCTTTTATTCTGTTATTAATCATAAATAACTAGCTTTGCCTTTTCAAATTCTTTGGCGTGACATTCGAAAACCAAGGCCAAAAACTAATATTAAATACAATCAAAGTAGATAATAACATGATAACTGCTAAGTACCATGTTCGTTAAATATAATGCAGCTCAGCAGTCATTAGTTTATGTAGTTTTGCCTTTTTTTGAATTATTAAAACATACCATTGACAAATTACTTAATAACTTTGAATACATTATCTTATACCAAACTATTAACAGAAAACCGATTATTATCAAGATAATAAATTCTTACCGTAAAAATGTAACAACTAGAATATTTGACTCAGCTTTAGTAGACTTTTTTTAATAAGCTTCCTTGGCCATTGTCTCAAAGACTACTCGACAGACCATCAAATTTGATAAGTGATAAATGACAATACAATAAAAATTACTAATTAAACGACAATATTTCTGATCATACGTTGGTTATATTACTCTAATTCAAATCACGATTTATGTCTTTAAACAGCACACAGAAATCGAAATGATTTAAGAATTGTTGAGTAAGACAATTCATTTTCCCAAAAAGTAAGACAGAAATAATTTTAGAGATTACGTATACACAATTATTACAAACAAAAATATTTTAATAATTAAACATATTTGCTTTATTAAGTCAGAGTAACAAGAATTGGCTACGACGTGGATACATGGACATTTTACCCACGTTATGATAGATTTTATTAGATATGAAGGCATTAATATTTATGATATATTACAATACATGAACAATAGGTAACACGTTTGGGCGTATGATAAACAAACAAGTAGTTCGCTGAAAGATCGATTCTAGCTTTGAATTAGGTGGTAGTATGAAAGTCTTTTGCACTTTGGGTTCGTTCCAAACCGACGCGATAACTCTTATTTTGGACAATTTATTAACACTTAATATCAGGGTTTTTTAACCTCTTTCTTGAAAACAGAACAAAAATTAGAAACTCGAGGACTTAATGGCACAACTTAAAGTTCAATCTTTTGTTTTTTGCATGCGCCAAACTTTAAAACTTAAAAAAAACTTGAAAACTTTTGTAATAAATTAAGTTAGATTTACTGAAGTATCATACAGTTCCAGCCTACTCAATTCAAAGAGAATTGAGACTTGAAATAGCTACTTGGGTCAAGTATAGCAGAACTTACTCGTTGCTTAAAATACTAAGGAATACTTCGATACATCGTTTCAAATAAGTAAGTTAAGTATAAACTTTCTGTGAATATTCAGCTCCTCGTCTAAATTACGATGTTGGTTTGGCCCGAAACAAAATCTATTGCACCATTGTTTTCAGCGTAAAATCCTTTAAAATGATGTGTCAGGATGTATAAGGTTGTATTTGATTTTGAAGTTGAACTGGGCATGAGGTACCCTCTATACTTTTTCTCCAAAAAAGGTAAAAATTTGAAACTACACTAAAAAAAATTAAAGACGTATTTTTTGTTTTTTTGATAACATCATGATCCAAGACAAATTCAGCCGGGCCAAATTTCAAATAGCTAAATTTGGCATGGTTGCTTTTTCCAAAATTAACTTTGATGCTGTTAAGTTATAAAATGTACAACAAATGTTTATCTCGTCAATAACTTTTTTTTACAAAAATTTCGATTAGATTTTGATTTATGATGTTAACAGACAATAAAGTTTAACTTTTGTTCCCCCTTACATTTATTTTTATTGGGGCCTTTTTGGGGGAAAAACCAACACAGGTAAACTTTTATTTTTGTCCTGTTTCGGATACAAAAAGTTTTTAATCCAACTCTCCAGGTACGAATAGAAGCTTAACTATTGGTTGCTCTAAATTAAATACCTTTAACTCCATTAAACTCAGCGTCGAAAAATCTTTCAAAAACACACATTGATGATGACATTTGAGATAGTTAAATTTTTAATCGTATCCCGCTATCCTGGATACTTGCAATTTGATTAAACCTTTTTGGCTCATGAGAACCTAGACAAAAAATAAAAGTTTCCGTTTCTCGAGGTTTTTCCTAAAAACGACCGAATATTTTTTTCACTTCATTTATTTGCATCTACCACTACATATATATTATATACAACCAGCAGATTGGGGTTTCAATTTCTGAGTATCGCATTAGTCTAAAGCCTATTGGCTGCCACTCTGTATGAATCGTTCAAGAAGTCTCTGATCCATATTCCTTTCACTCATCTACGGGGTAATTGTGGGGAATGGAGTAATTTTATTTGTGTGTTGGAGTGTTCTTGATACTGTGAAAACGTCCATAATATGTTTTGATGGTGGAAAAAAATGGCATATGGAAGGTTTCTGTGAAATATGTTATTGTTCACACAAGAAGGGAACAGAAACATTTAGTCAGTATAGTAATCGTTTGATTGAATACTTTGTAACCTTTTAATATTGGAATACTTGACCGATCCGTAAATTTCGCACCCGTACATCCAAATAAGTTTGAGGAGGTATTTGAATAGGTAAGTTTATGTCGAAAGTTTTGATTTTAATGGTAATTTTGATTGGTGGTTCAATAGGCAATAAAGCATTTTAAATCGTTATGTCGAAAGTTTTGATTTTAATGGTAATTTTGATCGTTAGTTTAGTAGGTAGTATTTTAAATTGTTATTAAGTCTCTATTTTTGTAATCCCGTGTGTTGATTCCAAGTTAGTCTCCTATCAAATTTAAGAACTAAATAGGTAAATTTGCGGATTGAAGAATAGGTTCGTTGTATAAGTATAAGCAAGGACATGTCTCAAGGAGAATGAGGTGGTGTTTTGTTTGTACTTTGAGGTGTTGTTTTATTTTTCAAAAAATGCTGCATTATTCAATGATTGACATGTGTTTTTGTAAGACAAAGAAAGCTTGTTTGTGTGTATGTGATAGTATGTGCATTCTGATTTGCGGGCATGTCAGAAGTTAAGATTGTGTACAACAGCGGATCAAGATGGCACATCGACAAGCATTTCTTTCAAATCAGAATTTTCTGATCACTGGTTTACTGCGAAGATTCTCTGCTTAAGGTATGATTGTATAATCGGATAACAGGCCTAGAAGTAGAAATAGGTTTAATTTGTATAGTAGTCCTTCATGCTATACTTTGTCGAAAGGTTGAGAAACTTCTAGAAACATTCCAGTCTCGTACAGTTTCTGCTTGAGTAATGTAATCTGTAACTCTGAGAAGTTGTGGGTGGTGAAATGATGGGCTCGAAAGCCAAATTGATAGTCTGGTACGATGTTTTTCGAAGTAGCAATAGAATTAATTCCTTCGTTAATTCATTTTTCGAATAATTTAAAAGGATCAGGTAACCGAATAATAGGTAGGTAATACGATGTGGAGCTTACATTTTTAAGAGGCTTTGGGATTGATTTAATGTAACAAAGTTTCCATTGCATGGGAAAGTATGTAGTCCTCAATATTCATTAAATAAAGAATGTAGAAATACGCAGCTTTTTGAGGGAAACAAATTTGAAATATAATCATTAGTCTGAAACAATGAAATAATTGTTGTTTTTTTCTCAATACAGTGTAGTCGTTTAAAACAATACTGTTGCTTTCAGCCACTAAAGTTTCTTTTCTAAAATTCTAGAAGCTTGGCAACCTTTCAAAGCTGAGAATTCCCAAGCTTACAAAATGGATGCATTATTTATTGAATTGTGCAAATGGCGATATTTGCCCTTGTTTATCCAAGGCGGTTACAAACTTACAAACTTGTTTCGCTTTTTACTTTCATCGTGAGTAATTGTTCTATTTGTCAGTTCTTTGGACTTACAGAAAGAATTTTCTAAGTAGCTCATCTCGAACTCGTCAACTTTGAGGCTGATGAATTTGTATACAACTGAATTTTTAAAGTGGTTTGTCCACTAGATCTTAAATTTAGTTTGATAAAAAGTTATTACTTGTATTAAAAATAAATCAATGTTTAATAGTCCACATTAAGGTTACAATATACTCTTTTATTTCTACTGGCTTTAATTAATAGAATATCTAAACTGGTTAAGGAAAGTCTATTTCCGAAAATATTCTTTTCAGCCGCTATATAAGAACTGTCTTCTGTTTACACATCACAGAAAACTTTTAATAACTGGTCCTTTCTATTTACCAGGGGAAAATAGACAGGGCTAATCCACTTACATAGCTATCAAGTTATTCGATGCTCGATAAATCCTATGTCTTTTTAAAAACATACACAAATTAAATTCTCTTAACAGTTTTCCACCCTTTAAAAAAAATCCAATTCAAATAAACAATTAGCAGTGAAATTTGCAGCTTTTGATTCATTCTTCATATTAAAGAGAGAATAAAGTCTTAATTATTTCAAATCTGGAGGGAGTCGAAGGTGTGATCTCCAAGTCATTTAGTGACTTCGTTAAGTTCTGATTAAGTCCAACGTTCTCTTTTTTTAAAAATGAATTATACTCCGTATCATTGGGAGAATTATATTTCGTTTTAATTCAGATCCTATCAATCCTTCACTTTTGATATTAGGTGCAATTCATTCTCGTAGAAAACGTGTTAAGCAACGTGGGTCGCTTCTGAAAAAAAAATTTGCAAAATTAATTTTTCGAATATAAAAGAAAGGGAACTACATAAATTTGCAGAGATCCGGCCAATTCCGAGGAGGTTTCCTGAATAAAAAATTGGCATTGGCATACATAATCAACATTGTATCATTGTTATTAAAGTATATTAAAATTACTTTCCATTTGTTTGTTTTTTCGAATAATATATTGTTTTATAATTTTTTATGCAACGCAACAAAAAGTTTTTTTTTTAATAAAAAAATCTATTAGTTTATTTTAAAACAAAGGAAATGTATAAAATTCACATTCTCCCTGTGGATGAATAAAACATTTTATTCGTATCTGTTCTCTCCATATTTTTACCAATTCTGATTTTCTTCATCTCATCTTTTTAAATGAAGTAAATCAGTTCAAAAAATTGTTGTTTTCATTGGGAGGGAAATATTTTCATTCAT